AAAATAGAATAAAAAAGATTAAATTATATTCAAATGATGTTTTCATAAATCTTTTAATATGAACAACAATTTTTAAATCTTATCCCAATTTTTAACATCTTATTACCACTTGATTAGGGTTGTCGAAACGGTTATTCGTTCGTGAACGCGTTTGGCACTGTAAAGGAACGAGCCGAACACGAACACACTTTTTGAGCTTAAAATATAAATGAGTCGAACACGAGCTGAACCTGAGCTCGCACGTGTTCAGCTTGTTTACAACCCTACTCTTTCGTCATTTTCCACAGCTTACCTTTAATTGATCGACCAAGATACAAAGCAAGGAGCTCGAAGCAAGACTAAAGTCAATCAAGGAGTAGGGCTTGCAACTAAAGCTAAGAAAAAATGGAGAAGAAAATTACAGGGAGAATCAAAGAAGGAATCAGAGTTGTAAAGGTTGCGAGAGAGCCACTATAAGATCTAAGCGGTCCACTCTTGCTTCCAACAAAATTTTTCGGAGATGGCGGGGTTATTATAGACTTTTAACTTCTATAGTGTAGAAAAGTCGTACAACATTTTCAATCCAAACTGTTATTTTGTTTTATCGATCTTAACTTTGAAATTGAGTTTTTCAAATGGAGCTTTTAAATGAAATTTTCTTGACAGTAAAGCGTCGCCAAACGAGGTTGATACGCCACAAACAAATTTTCTTCATCCGACATGAATCTTGAAGCAATATTTTGAGCAATAAATATTCAAATCTTGATAAAAAGTCATTCAGAGCTCCGATTTCAATTACTTATAGTCAAACTAACCAAATCGATGAGATGGACCTAATAATATCAAAGTTAGTCCAATCCGAGTCTAACCAAGCCCAAATTAAGTGATTAAATCATTCTTAGAAGATTTATGGACACATTTGAAAGGCTAAATGGATGTCAAATCTAGCGAGTTCATTACCTAATCGAGTGTTTCGACAAGACTAATCCAACGAGCCAAAGATTGCTCAATTCTGACATTGTTAAGGCACTCAAATGTCCATTAAACGTCATCTGATCGAGATAAACTCTTCGGACCATCCGATCAAAATAGTTTATATTCCTATATTAATTACACCCAAAATACTATAAATAAAACCTCACCCCTCCCTCACATGAGGAAGAAGACTTGAGAAAGAACTTAAAGCTTTGAGAAGGAGTTCAAATCCAACATCAACTATGTCATCATCGGTCGTCGTCGACCGCCACCGACTGTCAACGACCACCACCAGCCGCTGTCGACTACCAACGACCGTCATCGACCACCGCCGAGCATTCTCGACCACAGCTGATTGTCGTCCTCCGTCAACCACAGTCGACCTCCATCGACCACCGCTCACCGTCGTCGACCACTGTCGACTTCCGTTAACCTCCGCCATCTATCGTCGATCACCACCAATCATCATTAATCACCACCAACCAGATGCCGTCAGTCGACGAAATAACATGAAAATCTAATAACCATTTTCCGTCTGTGGGACAAGGGGTTTCTGTAATTTTTAATCAATAGTGGATTTTCGTAATTGGGTCAGGCCCTGTGATTTTTCTCTTTCTGAGTTTTCCACGTAAAAATTTCTGGAGTCACACTGCTTATTTTTTTTTCATCTGTGTGTGTGTTGAATTCTCGTACAACGCTAAGACGATAATTTCTTACTCTACCGTCGCAGATTTTCTAGCACGCATCAGAGGCCTTGATCAACGAAGGGCTAGAAAGATGTTGTGAGAAAGAGTTTTATGAATGTATGATCTTGCAATCATGAGGGCACTCCTTGTCTCATTTTCTTCCTCTACTGTTCTTGACCTGACCATTAGTTTACACTAGTCCATGTTTCTTCTGCTCGATTCATTTCTTACACATAGCTCTACTTATAAAGTAAAAATTACGTGAATTTTTCATATATCCTATGTTTTTTTCGCACAAGTTCGCCATAAATGCTCCTACGCATTTGCACGCACGTAATATTTTTTCCTATTTAGGAGAAAAATAGCAATGTCATAAGTACCTCGAAATAAAATACCACCACCTTTGCTCAGTAGAGGGGGGATATGACAAAAAGAGTCTTATTTATGTTCAAAATGATAAAACAAAAATTTCCTTCTCATACATGATCGGAGGAAAAGATCATTAAAACAAAAAACTAACTTTTCTCATCACTTTTTATAATCTTTTGTAGTGCTTTTAACACTGTTGATGTTTTTTGTAGTGCTTTGGAAAGCGTTGCAAATACGTTATGCCAAGACTTTCACAGTACTTTTATAAGCGTTGAGAAAGGTCTTTAGCAAAAAAAAACATATTACACCCCGGCTTCATACGTAAATTTTCATCCGGAGTTCAGTGGAAACTTCTCACGTGACAAGTGGGCTCTAGTTTAATACATTGATTGAATAGATTTTTTAGAGAGATGAGACCCACTTGCAGCGTGACACACTCTTACTGGATTGCGGATACAAATTTTTCGTCCGGAATTCGGATGTAATATTTTTTTTTCTTTCACAATGGTACCTACGACAATTATATAAAGCACTACAAATACTTGGAAAGTATCAGCATTTGTAGCGTTGTTGGAAAGCATAAAAAATTCTACAAATTTATTGAAGCTAGTAGTGTTGCTATCTGGTTACTTTTCTACACATGTTGTAATCGAAACGTATAATACTGTAATTAATAGGTATAATATAAGTCAAATCGTAGCGTAGTCATTTCAACAATATCATCATCCTAAATAATATTAAACGCTTATCCACTTAATGCAATTTACTCAAGACATTAGTTCACATAGTCCACCAACACCCTGAAATATAAATAAAAATTTATAATTTCATGTCATCCTCGCATAACAAAAATTCTTAATGACAAATACAACATGCAAAATATGAAACTAATCTCCCAAAATACCACTAATATACGAAACATAACATAACAAATCCATATCATCCTCTAATGATGTCAGATGTTAGAAGAATTATCACTGCAGTTGTGCAATTAATTATTACACAATTAGATATTAATCTTATTGTAAATGATCTTAGATAGTATACAATTTAAAGCGGGTTTTAGTCATCTAACTCATTTGCATCTAATGCATGAACTGTCACATTTCAGATCGTATGGTATGCATCTATTTCTCAAATTTTTCTCCAATCTATCAACTCAAGTGAAGCTACCGTCACTGCGACTTTTGCTCTGAGTGATAGTGCTATTAGGAAATATTTTGTAAGAATAACTACAAACCATTGCGAATGCACTCAATCAGAGCGTTCGAGCTCCATAATTGGCAAAAAATCCTCTCATTTACATCTATGTTTCCATCCTCTAGTGTTAAACCTTCCTCACTAAGAATTTTACATTTTCTTATGTGGATTATTAGAAACAAAAATGTGAAAAATTAATTTTATTTATATTTATGATTAAGTAAAATAAATGTTATCCAACTCTGTTCAACATCCACAAATGACCATAATTCAGGCAGCCTATTTACTCTCCACATTAATAATCTATCTTGCATAGCCTGAAAAAATAAGTATTAGTGAAATTAGTTTATAATTTAATATTGATAAAATATTAATTAAAAAGTTAAATATAACATAGTGACTATTTTTTCTCTGCATTTAAATGATCTTAATATTTCTATTAGATAAATGATCTTAACACATATCACTTGTAAAAATCTTAATGATTCTACTATAACGCTCATTACTTCTTTGCAACACCTCAACGCAATTCGAAGAATACATAACCTTTGAGTACTTTCATTTTCTTAAGAAGTTCACAAAACATCAAGCTTTTCTTCTTCGATAATATGAACATTAGCAGTGACAAAATAAAACTATCATTTTTATTAAAAAAAGAATACAAATCAATCTTTAGTAGATTATTTTTGGATTTATCAAGATCAAATAAAGTTCTAATGAAATTATGTTGTAACATATTATACTTCTAATAATGTATATACAAAAAATATTTTTCTTTTTATATGTAATTGAATCTTGCAATTGCTCATTTGTCAGCATACTACATTTTCTCTTCAAATTTTTTTTTGTCTTTATTTACTTTATCAAAGTGATTTGGTAATTGTTCAACTTCTGAAAAACTTTGACAATCAATCATTCATTGTGGTGTCGTTCTCATCTCATCTATGTTATCAAACTTTTTTTTTAATGTGAAGTATGTAATTAGGCCAACAACGATGTCCCATATATGATAATTTCTTAGTTTTATACAATTATAATGATTTGATGTTTATTGCATGGCAAGGGCAGGCAAATTTTCCTTTAGTACTTCATCGAGATAATATGTCGTATGCTAGAAAATCATTAGCATTGCACGCATATTAAATTTGTTTCACTTACAACATCTTAACATTGAACTAGGGGCGTAAACTTAGTAAATTTAAAAATTATTTTAACCAATAAAATAAAATTAAGAGAAAAATTTTATACATGAAAATCTGCATTTCACGTTTGAAAAGTTAAATTAGTGATATTTTTAATGTGATGATAAATATTTGAGGGTTATATAAGTAAATATTGAAATTTATGTGTTAGATATATGTGGTATGTACGTAAAATTGGCATATATGTAAATGAAATGCAGATTTTTAATTTTGAAAATGAAATGCAACTTTCATGCATAAGTTGGCATATATGTAAATAAAATAAAATTTAGTTATTAGATATGTAATTGATAAAAATAATAAATGAATTTGTAAAATAAATAAAAAATAAGAAGGGGATAAAAATAATAAATGAATTTGTAAAATAAATAAATAATAAGAAGGGCATTTACATACATACCACACAATTCATATATATTTACATATCTAACGCCTAAATATTCATATTTACATGCATACCACTTAAATCTTTATCATCACATATTTACATGCATACTACCTAAATCTTTTCACCAACTAAATTTCTTCATAAAAAAAGCAAGACATCAAATTAATGACTAGCATTAGCAATACAAAATGATCATGATACTGCCAAAAGTAAATGTGATATATTATAGCACAGAAACAAAATTTAATGTGTTTTTTTTTAATTCATAATTGGCATAAATGTAAAAAAAATACTAAGATTACTTGACCTTCATGCACTTAATGAAGACCTCAGCCAATCTGCTGTAGGTGTGATGCTTCAGGTATTTCTCCTGCACTCTCTGTCTTCCAAGCAATCCCATCTTCTTCCTGGCAGGTGGATTGTTGAGGAAAAACTGAATATTCTGTGCGAGAATCTGTGTTCCTTCATGGCCTACGGGATGGAGGAGGCCTGTTACCTTGTCCTCCACAATCTCCCGGGTGCCTCCAGCATCAGTTCCAAGAACCTATTATGATAATGAAAACATAGTTACTCTGACTGTTTATTTCACTAAAATGTATAATGTAGGGGCATTTACATATATATATATACGGCACAATTCTTATATTATTTACATATTTAACACCTAAACTTTTATATTTACATGCATAACCACTACAACAAGACATTACCCCCACTAAGTGGGATCAGCTACATGAATCCTTTTTCTCCATTTTGTCCTATTTTCACTTAATTCTAATAAACTAAGATCATTTTTATACAACATGCCCCAATATTTTTAAGCCTACTTTTCTTAACATAAGTCGGATCTAAAACATCTGGATTGGGAAGCAGATCATCGGATGATCAGCATTTAGAAACTACTAAGCAGAATTGATGATATCTTGTATGACTTGTAATCGCCTTCACTAAAAGCACAATTTTTATATAAATTTTTTGAAGTTAAACCACATTCAGCTTGCGACATATTTCATTTTACACATGCTGAAAATATTTTCTTTGATTTGACCAGTATTTAGATATCAAATTAATGAATATAATACTATAATATTTTGATGGTTCATTAATACGAACTATTTGCATTCTCGATGTAGCACAGTCATTATGAAGCTTCAAGAAATATGGGATCCCACTAATCTTTCCTTTTTCGGTTTAAATTATGGGGGTTTACATGCATACCGCAATTCTTATATATTTACAAATCTAACGATTAAATTTTAATATTTACTATTTGATGCGTGATTAAAAAAAATTATCGCTCTCCCCAGACGCTATAAGTAGACGAGCGATTATTGCGTGCAGAGGGCGCGCATAACGATTAAATTTTAATATTTACTATTTGATGCGTCATTAAAAAAATTTATCGCTCTCCCCAGACGCTATAAGTAGACGAGTGATTATTGCGTGCGGAGGGCGCGCGTAGCTTTGCGTGCGCCCTCCGCATCTAATAATTAGACTAAGTAGGCCCCCTCTCTTCACTTGAGGGAGGACAAGGAGTAGAATTCCAGTGATGTTCTAGACTGAAAACCGGACGATAATTTATGCCCCCCATAACCTCTTACCATTGTCGACAATAGACTACCAATCGCCGGCCACTCCTACTCATCGTTGTCGACCACCCTTGCTTGTAAGGTAGTATAGTAACATGTAACGATATATTGAAGGTCCAGCAATAACTAATGCCAGTGTTATTCTAGACTAAAGACCAGATAATAACTTTTGACCTCCTTTGTCAACGAACACTGTCAATCACTGCCCCATCGTCCTCCGTCAAACACCACTGGTCGCTTATTGCTAGTCGCTTTAGGTGGCCCATGTTTGCTAACTTAGTAGAATACGGTTGTAACATATAATATTGTATTGAAGATCTAATAATAACTTCCAGTTTCTGTAGCCGCCGAGCACCGTCGACTACTGTCAACCGTCATCATCTGCTGTCGCCGACCACTGACAACTGACGATCACTATTACGACCGTTATAGCCAGATTACGGTTGTTGTTTCTAACACATGTATTTCTTCTTACGTCGTATACCGACAAATATTATCTCTGGTGTAGCCACCAACCAGTACAGCACCAACTTCAGCCTATGTGGCAAACTACCGCAACTTCCTATCACGGCCTCTGTGGCCAACTTACGCCCTTGAAGCAATCAACTATGGCCCATGTGGTCAGTAATTAGGGCCTCTTTTGCCAACTAATGTTCTTGCAACTACCAACTACAACCTATGTAGTCAGTTACTACTGCAACTTCCAACTATAGCTTGTGAGACCAACTGACGCTCTTGCAGCTATCAATTATTATATATGTGGTCAGCTACTACTGCAACTTCCCACTACGATCATTGTGACTAACTAACGTGCTTACAACTACCAACCACATCCTATGTGGTCAGTTACTATTGCAGTTTTGCTCTACGACTGAAACTATTGCAGCCACTAAATACAACTTATATGATCAACAACTATTGTTACAGCTTCCAATTATAATCTATATGACCAACTAATAATATTACAGTGACCAAATATGATCTATGTGGCTAACTACTACTGACAAAATTTTCAACAATGGTTTATGTAGTCAATTGATACTATTGCAGTCATCAATTATGATCTCTGTGGATAACTAACGATATTTCAACTTCTAACCAAAGCCATTGTGACCAAATAGTGCCTACGCAGCAACCGATTACGTCATTTATGGCCGACTACTACTGATACAGTTTTCAACTATAACCTCTATGACTAACTAAAAATTTTGCAGTCGCCAACTACGACCTTTGTGACCAACTAATGATATTGCAACTATCAATCATGGCCTTCATGCTTGCCCCAATAAACATGTATTTAAAAACTACACTCAGAGTGATTTAAGGAAGGTTTATTTGGGAGATAACAAAGCCTGCAGTATAGTGGGAAAATGTGATATTGATATTAGGATTGCTGAATGGAACAATCTAGAAGCTTATTGTGGTTAGACATGTTCTGCATTTGAAGAGAAATCTCATCTCTGTGAGCTAGCTGATAAAGTTAGGACTTGTGACTACTTTCACAGGTGATTCGTGGAAAGTAACCAGGGAGGCATTAACAATGGCTCGGGGCAATATTAAAGCACCCTTTATATGATCAATAAAATGGCTGATTTCATTGAACCAGGGCGGCCATATATCAATAAAATGGCTGATTTCATTGAACCAGGGCGGAAGCAGATCTATGGTACCGTAGGCTTGGCCATACGAGCGAGAAAGATATAAAATCTCAACTTTCGAAAAATAAGCTTCAGGGTCTGAAATTGGTTGATCTGGATTTCTGTAAAGAGTGTATTTAAGCAAGCAAAAGAAAGTTTCTTTCTCCAAGAGCGGGTAGTGCTGAAATAAAAAAAAAACTGGAGTTAGTGCATACTGACGTATGAAGTCCTATTTCAGTTCATTCTAATAAAGGTTCTTGTTATTTTGTCACATTCATTGATAATCACACAAGAAAGATATAAGTATATTTCTTAAAGCAGAAATCTAATGTATTTGAAGTTTTTAAGATGTGGAAGGCTGTGGTAGAAAATGAAATAAGCTTGAATCGGAAGTGTCTAGATCAGATAATAGAGGATAGTATTGTGATCAGAAGTTCAGAAATTTTTGTGCTACAGAGGGGGTTAGGCATTAATTAATTATCCCAAGGACACCACAGCAGAATGGTGTGACTGAACGCATAAACAAAACAATCACAGAGCGTGCAAGTAGTATGCAGCTACATGCAAACCTGCCAAAACAATTTTGGGTTGAAGCAATAAACACTGCAGTTTATCTAATCAACCACAATCCTTCAGTATCTTTGAAGAAAGACTTGCTTAAAGAAGCCTTGAAGGGCAGAAAAGTATGTCTATCTCACTTAAGAATATTTGGTGTTCTGCATATATGTATGTTGATGCAGGCAGGAGCAAGCTTGACTCAAAATCTATCAAGTGCACATTCATTAGATATAACTCAAATGAGTTTGGGTACACGTTCTGGGATTATCAGAATCAGAAATTCATCAAAGCAGGGACGTCACTTTCAACGAAATGGAGATGTACAAGAACATTGTCAAAACTCATGACAGTCCGTTAGCTACTTCTGAAGAATCCAGATATGTGGAGATAGAAGATATTGGTGATCAGGAATATGGAAAAAGAACAAGTGCTCAACGAGAAGGAGCACTGGAAGTTCTTCGGTTGCCAGCTACAAAAGTCAAAAGATCCAACAGAGTGAAACAACTCAAACAAATGTATTCTCCTTCTTTACACTATTTGTTGCTAACTGATAGTGGTAAACCAGAGTACTTTGATGAGGCCAATCAAGTTGAAGATTCAAGGGAGTGGGAGCTTGCCATGGATGAAGAAATGCAATCTTTGGAGTCAAATCAGACTTGAGATTTGACAATACTACCAAATGATAAAAGAGCATTGCACAATAAGTGGGTCTACAAACTGAAAGAGAAGTCAGATCGAAACAAGCGCTAAAAGACAAGACCTGTTGTTAAGGGTTTCCAAAAGAGGGTAAGAGTGGATTACGCAGAGATCTTCTCCCCAGTGGTGAAGAAGACTACTGTCAGGGTTGTGCTGAGTCTGGTGGCAATGGAAGATCTACATCTGGAGCGGATTGATTTAAAAATAGTTTTTTTACAAGTAGATCTAGAGGAGGAATTATACATGATGCAACCACAAGGTTATATGGCGCTAGGCAAAATAAGATTTGTTTGTAGATTGAAGAAGAGCATCTATGACTTGAAGCAGACTCCACGACAGTGGTACAGGAGGTTTGAAAGATTCATGTTAGACAATGAGTACATGAAGTGCCATAAAGACAACAATTGCTTCATCAAACACTTCGGTAACTGTTATATTTTGTTTGTTTTGTCAATGGATGACATGTTGATTGCAGGGGCATATATGGAGAAAATCAGGAACTTGAGGGAACAATTATTAAGTGAGTTTGAGATGAAGGATGTAGGTCCAATCAAGAAGATCCTAGGGATGAGAATCAGTAGGGACAAGGGTGCAGAAACACCAAAATTGTCTCAGGCAAAGTATGTTGAGAAGATCCTACAGAGGTTCAACATGAGTGAGGCAAAACCAATTAGCACTCCCTTATGTAGTCACTTTAAATTATTGAAGGAGCTACTGCCTCTAACTCTAAAGCAAAGCAAGCACAGATAGAGAGAACTATGTATGTTTCAGTGGTTGGAAGTTTGTTGTATGTGATGATTTGTACCATGTCAAATATTGCATATACATGGCCAATCCAGGCAAGCATCATTGGGAGGCGGTAAAGTAGATTCTCAAGTATTTGAGGGGAACGATCAACATGTCACTTTGCTAAAGAAGTGCAGGGATCAATCTACAGGGTTTTGTAGATTCAGATATGGTACAAGATGTGGACAGAAGGAGAAGTGCAATGAGATAAATTTTCATGTTAGGGAATAAAGCGATGAGTTAGGTTTCCAGGTTGCAGAAAATTATTACACTTTCAACTATGGAGGCCGAATATGTTGTTATCACTGACGCCAGTAAGAAGATGATTTGAATACAGAATTTCATGGAAGAATTAGGGAAGGAGTAGGGAATTGAAACTCTACTATGACAGTATGAGTACAATTCATCTTGCTAAGAACACTGTTATCATGATCACTGCTTCCGTAGTCGTCGACCCACTTAGATTGTCACCACCTACCATCATCAACCACCAAAGACAACTGCTTACAATCATTGTAGACAAATACGGTGGTTTTTACACTTGCACTTCTCCTTCATATATCAAAAAGGTTTTCCTTTGGTCTAAAATAAAAGCATGAGAGGAGTACAACCACTAATCAATGTAGCATCAACTTCGGCCTATATGGCCAACTACTGCATTTTTCCACTCTGGCATCTAGGGTCAATTAACGCTCTTACAACTACTAACTACGGCCTACGTGTTCAATTATTATTGTAGCTTCTAATTACAACCTCTTGCAGCTACCAACTACAGTCTATATGGTCAATTACTACTACAGCTTCCCACTACGACCTCTAAGATCAAATAACGATTTTACAGCTACCAATTACAGCCTATGTAACTAATTAATATTGTAGTTTTCCACTACAACCTCTATGGCCAACTAACGCTTTTGCAGTTACCAACTATGGTCTATGTGATCAGTTATTACTCTAGCTTCCCACTACGATTTCTGTGACCAACAGATGTTATTGCACCCACTAACTACGGCCTATGTGGACAACTACTACTATTACAACTTTCGACTACAGCCCATGTAACTAATTAATGATATTTCAGTCACCAACTATGGCATATGTGACCAACTATTAGTGATACAGTTTCCAACTAGAACATCTATGGTCAATTGACACTATTATAGTCACCAACTGCAGCCTATGTAGCCAACTACTACTGATACAATTTCCAACTACAACCTCTGTGTCCAACAGACACTATTGCAGTAACCAACAACGACCTCTATAGCCAACTAACGATATTGCAGCTCCCAACTACAACTTGTGCCTAACTACTACCATGCAGCAATCAACTATTGCCTATGTGGTCAACTCCTACTGATACAGCTTCCAACTATAGTAATTGTGGCCAACTTGCACTATTGCAGTTGCCAACTAAGACCTCTATGACTAACTGATGATATTACAGCTTCCAAACACGGCTTTTGTGGCCAACTACTGCCTATGCAGCAATCAACTATGGTCTTTGTGGGCAACAACTACTGTTCTTCCAACTGTAGCCTATGTGGCCAAATGTCGCTATTATAGCCATCGACTTACATCCTTCATCATCAACTACATTTGTTGTAGCCTAATTGCGGCTATTATAGTTGAATTATTATTCCACATTTGTAATATCAGCATTATAATTTCATCTTCTCTAATTCATAAGAAGAGTAGACTTATGCACTCACATACATATGGTGGATTACTTTGACTGGACTATGCCCCGCGGTTTTTTCCCTTTATAGGGTTTTTTCATGTTGTCATCTCCTAGTACTTTTCATTTATCTGTGCGTTGGATCTTTGTGCAACGCTAAAAAGTTAAAATATCACTCTACCGTCTCAAATTTTATAGCACGCAACACTCATATAGCATCCAAACCTTTAATATCACATAAAAATTCCACTAAGAATAACTATTTAAAAGTGAAATACAGAATTCATGTTATGTTCTGATGTGATTATGACACGAAAGTGTCGTATATAAGTATATACTAAAATTTTGGTTTCAGATATCAAAACAATGGAATTATGCGGTATATATGTAAATCCTTCTATATATAAAATAAATGCCTTGATTTGTTCATTGGATGTTCTAAGAATGAAAATAAATGACTGTATTAAGAATGATGTTAGTAAATCCATGTGGTTTGTGAACAAGCATGATATCTTATTGTAAAATAACAAGTCGATTTTAAAGAACTGATTGAGTGATGTTGTATTTTGATTTAAGGCCAAAACTTTTAATCCACCCAATAAAAAAAAAAATAAATTTTAAATTAAATTCAGTATAGCTTAGTGAAAGAACAAAACAATAGATCAAAAACATATCAATGTCTGATATACATACCGGCAAACCAAATGCCATGGCCTCAACTGTAACCCTTCCAAATGTTTCTCCAACGCCCTAAAACAAAATTTGCACGAATATTAGATGAGTGCGAAGTTAAAAAAAAAAACTGAATATAGAAGCAAGCAAAAAAGATTACAAGGTAACATAAAATATACCTTTTCATGCATTCCTATGGCGGTATGTATGTAAAAACTGAAGTATAGGTGTTAGATAAGTAAATATATAGAAATTGAGTGGTATTAATGTAAATTTTCTATATATTTAAAGCTATCAGGTGTAAAAAAAAAAATACTCTAATGAGGTCTAACAATCCTACAAAATTCAGCTCTTACAGTAAATGGTCAGTCATTTTATCAAATTGGAAAATGATAGGGAAAATTAAAAAAAAAAAAGAAGAGACGCAACTAAAAGAAACCTACAGTATACACCTTGTATAAATTTAAGTAGAATTTTTGCAATTTAAACCTAAAATGCAATGGTTTACAACAGTCAATGTAATATAGCACTTCAGCAATAACGTCATCTTTTTTATACAAAATCAAAACCAACTATTTAGCGCAAAAATGAACAAATGAAAGAAAATTAACAAAAGACAGCTTTTAGATGAGATGAAGATCAATCCTCCAATATAATCCACTATATTAAATAGGGACATTTAGATATTGTGATGAAAAACTTACTTTCTTCTTTGTCCACAATTGAAAGCATATGCTACATATTTATATACACTCATTTTTCTATAGATTAGAAATATATCTAATATATAAAAGATCATGTACTTAGATATTCTCTAATTCGGTTACCTAATATTAAGCTTACTAATATACAAGCTACCCAACATTCAACCATTAGATCTAACACTTTCCATAACACTTCCCCTCAAGCTAGAGCATAGATATTTTTCATACCCAACATGTTACAGATATAAGTGACCCTTGCTCTATTTAGTGTCTTTGTGAAGATGTTCCCTAGTTCTCCAATTTTAATTAGAGGTAGAAATCTAATTTTATTGAATCTTTTCACGAACAAAATGACAATATATCTCAAAGTACTTTGTTCATTCAAGAAAGACAGCGTTTGAAGCAATATGAATTGCAGCTTGGTTATCAAACCACAATTTTAGTTGGAGATGTCATCTTAATACCTATTTCGATTAAGAAGTAGGAGACCCATATCAATTCACTTGAAGCTTTTGTTATTGCTCGATACTTGGACTCTGCACTGAATCGTGACACTATATTTTGTTTCTTAATCTTCCATGAGATCAAATTACCACCAATAAAAATACAATATCCATTAATGGATCTTCAATCAAACTTGGAAATTATCCAATCTGCATCAGAGAAACATTCAATATTTCTACACCCCTGATTATGACCTAAAATCCCTTTTCTGGGGGCTTCTTTGAGGTAACATAGTATCTGATCCAGAGTTGACCAATAATGGGGAAGATATTAAGTGACTTATAGAGTTAACTAAATGTACAATGTCAGGGCTAGTCACTTTGAGATAGTTTATGTTTCCCAATTTCTATATCGTTTGGGATCATTAAAAAGCTCTCCATCCTTGGTAGGTTGTTGATTATGAAGCATCAAAGTAATGCGTGGCTTGACTTCTAATTTTATTATTTCTACCAACAAATTCAAACCACACTTCAAATGAGATAGAAAGATGCCCTTCTTATTTCTTGATACCTAAATCCTCAAAAAATACTTCATGGAACCCAAATCCTTAGTATTGATCTGATTTTGAAAATATGATTTTAATGATAAGTATAATGCACATCACTTCCAGTAAAAATAATGTCATCAACATACACCACCAGCATAATGATCCCAGAAGTAGATTGCTTGTAGAATACAGTATGATCACTTTTACTTTTATGCATCCCAAATTCTTATATTGCTTGATTAAATCTTCCAAACCATGCTCGAGGGATTTGCATCAATCCATATAGTGACTTCCGAAGCCGGCATACTTTCCCAGACTCCCCCTAAGCAACAAACCCAGTAGTTTGCTCCATATATACCTCTTCTAAAAAATCACCATGTAGAAAGGCATTAAAGTTTAGATAGAAATATACCCTTCTTGTTCCTTAACACCTCAATCCCCAAGAAGTACTTCATGGAACCCAAATCCTTATTATTGAACTGATTTTGAAGATATGCTTTCAATGATAAAATTTCATGCACACCGCTTCTAGTAAAAATAATGTCATCAACATACATAACCAATAGAATGATTCAGAAGCAAATTGCTTGAAGAATACAACATGATCACCTTTACTCTTATGCATCCCAAATTCTTATATTACTTGACTAAATCTTCAAAACCACGTCTGAGGGCTTTGCTTCAATTCATATAGTAACGTCTGAAGGCGGCACATTTTCCCAAACTCCCCTTGAGCAACAAACCCAAGTTTTTGCTCCATGTATACCTCTCAAAAAGATCACCAAGCAAAAAGGCATTATTCACATCGAACTAGTACAATGACCAATTGTTCATTGCAGCTAAGGAGAGAAAGAGGAAAACCAAAGTCAAGCTAGCCACCAGAGAGAACGTGTCCAAGTGGTTAATCCCATAAATTTGAGCATAACTCTTAACCAACTAAGCATTGAGATGAGCTACAAATCCATCATAATGAAACTTAACTGCAAAGACCCATTTACAGCCAACAATCTTCTTGTTATAAGGTAATTCAACAGGTTCCAAAGTTCCTTTTTCAGTTAAGGCAATCATTTCATTAAGCATCTCTATACACCACCAAGAGTAAGATAGAGTTTCGTGAACAAATCCTGGGACCTCAGCAGAGTCAAGAGAAGCAATAATTAAGCAAGAAGTTGAAGATACTTGATCATAGTTAACGCAAGAAAAAATGGGATAGGTGCATTGACGGTTACCTCTTCGAAGAGCAATCGGTAAATCAATATCGCTAAGAGAAAGATCCACTAACGTAGGGGATACCGGCGCCGATCATAGTTAACGCAAGAAAAAATGGGATAGGTGCTTTGACGGTTAACTCTTCGAAGAGCAATCGGTAAATCAATATCGCTAAGAGAAAGATCCATTAACGTAGGGGATACTGGTGCCAAACTAGGATTTAGGGGGTGAGGTATTCTCAAATAAACATTGATGATAGGTAGTTTAAGCTAAGGCACTGGTGGTGGAATTTGAGTTGAACTAATGATAAGATATATTAACTCATTGGAATCCTGTGAGAATTTAGGCAGTGATGAGTCACAATAAAATGAGATTTGTGCATGAAAGGTGATATCAACAAACACCATTTACCTGTTTAAGAGGGAAAAAAAACATCGATACTCATTTCGTAAACAATAGTATCTTAGAAAGGCACAACTTAATGACTTAGGGTCTAGTTCAAAAACTTAAGATCGAATGTCACAAGCAAAACAAATACACCCCAATAAAGATGGTTCAATGGAAAAGCGATAGTTGGTTGGAAATAAAACTTGATAGGATATCTAATTCTTATAAATAGTAAAAGACACCCTATTGAAAAAAAAAATACAGTAGAAATTGCATGAACCCACAAGTATATGAGGACATTAGTTTGAAACAAAAGAGCTCTCGTTGTCTCAAGTAAATGTCTATTTTCTCTTTTAGCTACTCTTCTTTGGGATGGAGCATCGACACAAAATGACAAATGAAGCATCCTATTTTTTGTTTTGTATGTCTGAAAAGATGCAGAGAAATATTCTTCAGATTGTCACTTCTCAAAACTTTAACATAATATTCAATTGAGTTTAATTCAGCACAAAAGAATTGAAAGAGTAATAATAATTCAGAATAGGATTTTATAAAGTAAAGTCAAGTCATACGAGAAAAATTATCCACGGATATGACAATATCAAACTACATTAGATAAAACAGGACAAGATCCTTATACATCATAATGAACCGGCTCAAAACTATGACTAACTCTTTTATTAATTCTAGAAAAAGAAGGCAAACGATGGTGTTTAAAAAATTGACAGGACTGATTATATAAAGATGATAATTGCTATAATTGAGTGTAACTTTTAACATTTTTAGTGATAGTTGCCCTACTCAACAATGAACCTCGAATGGAGATAAGGTGGTGGAACATGCCATGGGTGAAGGTAGTTTGTTTCCCAAAATATATAGCCCTAATCGATTGTGTTTAGCAAATTGACACAAATCACAATCAAAAGATGATAATTGCTAAAGTTGAGGGTAAAACTTTTTTAGCATTTGTAGTGATGTATGCCCTAATAGACAATTAACCTAATGTGGAGATAAGGTGCTAGAATAGGCCATGGGTCGAAGTAGTTTCTTATCCAAAATGTAGAGCCCCACCCCCACCCCCTCTCCTCCTCATTGTCTCAAGAAGATGTATGTTTTTTTCAGGTACTCTATTTTGTGATGGAGCAACGACATAAGATGACTGGTGGAGCATCCTATTTTATGTCTTGTATGTCTAAAAAGATGATGAGAAATATTCTTCGGATTGTCACTTTTCAAAATTGTAACAAAAACATTGAATTGAGTTTTAATTTCAGTACGAAAGAATTGAAATTGTAACAATAATTCAGAACGGGATTTTACAAAGTAAAATCATATGAGAAAAATTATCCACAAAAATGACACAATATTGAAATTCATTAGATAAAACAGGACAAAGTTTCCATACATCATAATTAACCAACTCAAAACTATATTAACTCTTTTATTAATTCTAGGAACATAAGAGAAATGATGGTGTTTAGCAAATTGAAACGACTATCTAATTATGATAACTGCTAAAACTTAGGGCATAACCTTTTTATTATTTTTAGTGATGGATGTCCTAATCGACAAAGAACAGTGAATGGAGATAAGGTGTTGGAACGGGCCATGTGACAAGGTAGTTTGTTATCCAAAATTTATATCCCTAATCGATGATGTTTAGCAAATTGACACGGATTACAACCTAAAGATGATAATTACTAAAACTACGGGTTTAACTTTTTAGCATTTGTAATAATGGATGCCCTAATTGACAATGAACCTCAAATAAAGTTATGGTGCTGGAGTAGGCCACGGGTCGAAGTAGTTTGTTATCCAAAATGTATAGCCCTTCCCTCCCAACATGATCCTCATTCTTTACCAATCATCTTATTAATCATAATATCTTAAAAAAGATAATGACCAGGAGAGATGAAGATACAACAATTAAGAGCACATGTAAAATTACTAACAAAGGCAAAATTAAAAGAAAATTGAGGAAAACTCAGGACAGATGTTGTTGGTAGCGTAGGTGTAATATTAATGGTGTCAGAACTAAGAACATTAGAAGTGGATTCATCTATTAAGGTGACAAAAGAAAGATGTTTCTGAAATGGAAAATAATTTTAGATTACTTGTCATATAATCTAAGACACCAAAATTAATGACTCATTGTGTGAAAGAGTAAATAAGACAAGTATCATTATTAACTAACTCAACAAGGGCAGTGACAAAAAGAAATTTCTTGGCTGATTTCTGAAATTGGATGAATATAGTATATTCATCTACAGAAATCAAGAGAGTTTGACTTTGAGATGCTTCATTAGTAATAATCATGTGAGCTGACTGTGATCTAGAAACTTTCTAATTCCTTTTGAGCAACTTATGATATATTTTTTTTCGTATGACCAAGTTCATGATAGTAATAGCAAACTACCCTCGAGCCTTAATTTCCAAAATTTGGAGTTCCACTTTCGTAATTTCCCTGAGAGTGAAATTTACTGTACGTGCATTTTTCTGGCTAGCAAGAGCACTAGGTTATTGTACGGATGAAGCCTAAAAACTCAAAATAGTACGCAACACTCTAGTATAAGTTTCCCTCAGAGTTGTAACTCCCAAGTCAGATAGGATCTATGATTCGACACCTTCATCCTGCGTTTTGAGGCCAGTTATAAATTTCATAATAGTCAGTTGTAACTCCCAAGTCAGATAGGATCTATGATTCAACACCTTCATCCTGCGTTTCGAGGCCAGTTATAAATTTCATAATAGTCATTTATTCTTTTTGAGCCTACTAGGTTCAAAAGTACTAAAGGGCAATAGTGCATTCAATTCTTCATAAATACGTTAAAGTGCATATGATATGTGTTAAGTGATTGACCCTTGATTCAGCTCAATAGAACTTATTGAATAAATCAAAGATTAGAGATATGTTTTCTCTTCCATAAAACAAGAATGCAAATTTCTTCATCGCAACCTTCACACAATCACAATGAGTAATATGATCAGATGGATCAGATTCGATAGAGTTCCATATTTGTATAAAAAGTTGGGCAACAATTCTCATCCATTCATAGTAAGTCTGATTGGTTTCAACTAGGAGACTCTCAGTGAGGTGCCTCTCTTGAGATGTACTTCTTAAGTGGAGTCTCACAATTTTATCCCAATAAAAATAATTGATGTTATTTAACTTTTAAGTTGTAATTTTAACCACCAAACTTGTCAAAATGAGGTGTTGTTCCACAACCATGATTATCACTAATTATTCAAGTTCATTGAATCCACTAATCCAATCCAATTGATCCCATCAAATCAATAAGTCCAATCGAACTTACAGGACTCCTTAAAACGACGACACTGACTAATGTTTGACAGAGATGAAGTTGAAGCTTCAGTCGATCTCAATCCTCCAAGAGACGAAAGTGCAGCCCATTCCTTTACGACAGCCAAAGACGAAGCTGAAGAGCTGCTTCATGACTAAGAAGTTGGAGACTAAGTCAAAGCAGAAGAAGATGATGCAAACTAAATCACTTCTCGATGAAAATGAAGCCTAGCAACAAGCTTCTGAATGACGATGCAGCTGAATAATGAGGTTCCAGAAGATGACGAAGCTAACGTTCGTTCGTTCGATGCCCTAATCTTGTAGTCTTTGATGAGTTACTCAAACGAGTAAATGAAGCAGACAAACGAACAGAGCGGCAAAATCAGACGAAAACGGGTGAACTAGACAAGCAAAACGATGTCGACCGAGCGATCCAAATGGGAGATGTCCTAATCCTGTTGAAGCAGACAGAACGGATGAACCTAACAAGTAGAACGATGTCGATCGAGCGATCCAAATGATGCAGACGAAGCAGAATAAATGAGCAATCTAGATGATGAGTTTTTATATTAGCTAATGGAAAAACTTTCTTCTTATTCCAAAATTGAAAGTATATATTACATATTTATATACACTCCTCTTTGTATAGATTAGAAATATAACTAATATAGAAAAAATCATGTAATTAGATCTCTTCAAATTAGGTTATCTAATATCAAGTTTTCTAATAGATAAGCTACCTAATATTCAACCAATAGATTTAATACTTTATATAATGAAATATATGCCACACAATTCCAATGTATTTATAAATCTAAAACACCTAAATTTGCTTTTGACATTTATATCACCTAAATCTCTCATATCACATCAAAAATACAACTATTTTAGCTTTCAAAAAGTGTAATACACATTTTAACACCCAAGTAAGGTGCCATAAATGTAAAAATTGATGTTTAAATGTTAGATATGTAAATACACAAGGAATTGAGTGGTATGGATGTCCTATTAATTAGAATTATAATTACAAAAAAATGATGCCCTTCAAATAGAAAGTTATCGAGACCATGAAGATAGAAAATGTTATATTTACCAAAAATGTTCCATAAACTACACTCCCACCAGAATATTCACAGACTTTGACGATCAAATCATTTATGGGCGGGGGACCCCAAAAAGGAAAGGAATCGCTAGTCGGAAATGAGTAAGAAATAGAAATACAACTCTATAAATGTCCATAATAAAATAGAACAGTTTTGTATTTATTTACCATAAAATCTAATAACATCTACCCAAAGGTAGTTCTCATGTTAGGTGGTATTTGGCAGCAATCGGGATTTATTTTAAATAGAATTTAGTAAATCTAATAAATCCTGCGAAGGAGATGAATTCCGTCGATGGTAGAATAAATCCTTTAAGTTCATCTCTCATTCAGATTTATTAAATTCAGATTTACGTCATAATAGAGACGAAAAGCGATGAGAAATGATAGAACGCAAAAATTTTCGATTTAACGGAGCCTTGAATTTAATTTTCATTTTTTTTTCTTTTGGAGTTTTGCTAAATTTAATTGAAATCCATCCCTAAATCCCCTTAATAGTATGCTACCAAACACCAACTAAATGTTCAAACCTTTGCAACGGTCACCATTGGTTTCAGATCAAAAATGGTGCATGTCATCTTTTCTTACAATAGATAAAAAGTACAGTTAACCTCAGTGAAATAAATGACTTAAAATCCTTAAGAAAAAATTAACACAAACAAAATCGCATTGCTAAGCATTCAAAGAAGATGATTACCTGGGAATTAATTACATAAACATCTGCTGCAGCATATAGTGAGGCGACCCGAGTAGTTGCTCTAGTCCACAACACAGATTTCGACATGTTTGAACTCTGAGAAAGAAATCCTAGAATTCTTTTTACATAAGATACTTTATTGCTTTTTGATCCAATAGATCCAATTAGAATCTTCAGACTTTGTTCTTCGGCCCCAATTTTGTCAGATAATAAACGCCTCAACTTCCGCTGATCTTGTTTTGCAGTCTCAGCATCATCGAGCAAGGAAAGGCTATTTGATCTAGAGCGTTTTCTCTTTCGCTTCTTCGAAGCTTTGCTCGTAGGTTTTCGTTTCACTACTACTGCATTGCCAGTCTGGTTAGTTTCCAAATGCTCCGCCACCGCAGTTTGGTTCTGAATAAAATGAAGCGAAAGTTCACTCTCTATGATGATAGGATCACGCTGTGAAACATTCCTCCCGGTAACTAAATGAGCTGCTTCGAGAAGCAGGAGCTGGCCTTTCGCAGGGTTTACACTGCTTAAAGTCATTACAAGCATATCGTTATCAGACAATCCCATCTCTTTACGAACTTCAATTCTCAAGAAGTCCCTCTTCTCCGTCATTTTCTCAGCACCGAAAGCAGGTGTGTTTAAAGAACAGGGAATGCCTGCAGCAAAGGCCAATTCATCATTAACAGAAAGAGGGACTATCATAGGCTGTGATTTCAACTTAATATTCTCCTCTTTGCACCAAGATAACCACTGATTAGATTGTATATCGGATAAGAAGGTAAGCATTTTCACTTGGCCGAGCATATTCTTTGACCGGTTGAAGTATTCTAGTCGATTCTCCATGATCCACCATACAAGCTGGTTTGATCCAGCTGGATTACGTCTAAGATATTGCTCTGGAATTAAAAACATACATATATGAGTAGATACAATAACAAACATTTACCCCACTAAATGGGGAGAGCTACGTAAATCATTTTTCTCCATTGTGTCCTATTTAGTCTCATATTTTCATTTAATTCTAATAAATTAAGATCATCTTAAACGTCTACTTTCCTAACCGTATCATCAGATGATTGATGTTTAATGTGATCGAACCACTATAAATACTTTCAAGTAATTTTTGGAAGTAACAACGTGAATGTTTTCCATGCAAGTTTACGTGTTAGTCTGTATGGAAGTATTTATCAAAATAAGATTGTTAGTATTATATCAGTTTATGAATAATATTCTAGAAGACCCCGTAATACAAGATTCATGGACGCTTTGGATGATAAAGAATTCCAATATATAAATATTGATGATTGTATACATGAATAGCGAATAGGACTTGGGGAAGACAACAAAATGTGAATATTGTCAATGGTATCCTGCAATTGATAGAAGATATAAATGTAAGAAATGTTATACACAAGCATGCTATAAATGTGTCCATGAAAAATATAAAATTTCATATCCAAAAGGTGTACCTGAACATAAAAAAACCCACCCTATTATAGAGTAAAGAGTAAGGATATTAGAACAAAAAGTAAATTTGATGGAAAAAAAGTTAAGAGAATTTTAGAAGATTTGATCATGACAAAAGAAAAGAGGATATGAGTGCCCAAAGTATGATAAATACTTGTCATGAAAACATGGATTAGCTGATAATGGAGAAGATGTAGATTTAGAACCTGGCATTGAAAAACTAACTATTATTTCTAATCCAGAAATATTACATTACATTCAAGTAATTGCAAACTAAATATTCATGACCATGAAATTTCACTTCCTGCAGTCATACATATTGGATCTAATTCTACTACTTTAATACCTGAAATATATATTATTAAAACTGTCAAACCTAAACGCACAGCTCAATTTGATGGAACTATAGATGAATTAACACACTGTTAAAAAGACACATCATCAAATGGTCAAAACCCTATACTATGGATGAAATATGGATTCGTCCTGTCCCTCCGGATGATCATTTTTCCATTAAATTAATCTTAGGTCTTAATTTCTTCAAAAAATCCAATGGGGGATTAATGGTACCAACGACTATCTCAACATTTCAAGCATTCCACTACTGCCCCCATCGTCTTCCATTTTGTTTTCTCGGAGTCCTCTTAGTTGCGTGGTACCAAGAATAACCGCCTACAACAATAGATTGATCCCATGAAACAACACTTTCTCCTATGAAAGATTGTCTCTCTGAATTTCCTGGAGCTTGTAAATTAAATAAGAAACCTGAAGAAGTTTCTGATAATATGCATGATGACGCTTTAGTCCATTATGATATCCCTAATGATTTAATAAACTCTTATGAAATTTCCAATAATTATGAATCATTTGATTTAAAGCATTTATTTACTCCTCAGATGACAAAACTAGTGACACAAAATGGTATAAATAATTTTATTTCTAATTTAGAAAAATTGGAAATAATAGGAGAAAATCCTATGAAATATAAAATAATTATGAGAATTTTGAAGAAATCAAAATTTTAAATCATGACATGAACATTAAAAGAGGAGATATTAAATATGATAATTGAGAAATCGAAGAATACAAAATAAATATTGCTCAATTACTAAAACTAGGACTAATCCAAAAAATCAGAATCTAGACATAGAAGTCCTGCTATGATTGTAATGAAAAAAGGTAAAAAAAAAATGAGGAACAGTCTAGAATGGTGTTCACTTATAAAAGATTAAATGATAATGTTGAATTTGATAGATACAGATACTTTCAAAGGATCAATCAATTAACAAAATCCAAAATATTAGATGGTTTAGCAAATTTAATTTTAAATCTGGGTTTTGGCGAATTAAGAATGGATAGTAATGTCTTTTGGTTTCAAAATGCTTCTCAAGTGTTTCAAAGAAAAATAAATAATGTTAATGAATATCTCAAATTTCTCGTGTATCCATTGACGATATCCTGATACTTTTCCATAAAAAAAAGAACATTTATCTCACCTCTATACAGCCTTTACATTATTTGAAGGTCGCGATCTTATAATATCAAAGAAAAAGATAATTTTATGTTCTCAGCGTATTGAATTTCAATGTACAGAATTAGAAAAGGGGAAGATCAAATTACAACCACATATCTAAAAGAAAATTTTATATCTCTACAGAAGCTTTAAAACTTCTAAGAACATTCTTAAGATTTCTAGACTATGTCAGGCCACATATAAAAAATCTTTCAAAATACCCTAAAATTCTTTGAAGGGGACTAGAAAATTCAATCAAGAAGATATATTACTACTTCAGCAGATCAATAAGAAAATGGCAGAACTTCTAAATTTACGAGTCATTCGGATATAGTAAGAATAAATTTGCCCCTAATCAGAGAGATGACGACTATCTAGTTGTCCCCTCCAAGTCCATTTAGATCATTAGAGAGCTTCAGTTCAAACTGATGATTGGCATTGGAATCAGAAGAGAGACTTTTATGATTATACTTTAGTTGTAGAAACTACTACGGAAAGAATACACATGGATAATTCTGCCTAATAATTATTGTTATCTTTTGAATTTCTCTACAAAAAATAAAAAATTACATGAAAGTTATCGCAGGTTAAATATCAATGATTACCATCATGAGGAATAGTGGTGGACCCAGAAGAATATTCCATAAGCCTCTTACTTATGGGTGAAGGAAAGTTCCATATTTGGCTTACTGAAAAAGCCAAGTTACTTATCCACGAAGTCAGAAAGGTGGTTATGTCAAGTGGTTCTTGTGGGCTCCAAAAAATCTAACCGCTCCTCGAGAACTCTCTATATTTATTGTTATTTTGTTTTGTGTTGAGAGAGCTTTAGATGGTCTAATTTTCAGAGGGCAGATTAGATTGTAGATAAGAGACTACCCAGAGATTTTGCCCTCATTTTGTAATGATTTTTTATCTGGAGTTCGAGATTTTCCATAGGCGTAAACCTTTATGATTAATTACCCCTCTCAATAACAATAAAGCACTTTTGATTAAGATTAGTAATTAGTAATTGAATATTCAACATATAATAGCGACACACTTTGGATTTAAACTTTAAAATTCATCACTTGAAACTTAAAACGGATGATAGGGAAATGAAGACTGGAAGCGATCAAGGTCACATAGTTTCATCATCCTGGGTTGTCATTGTCGCTGATTTACTTAGTCAGAGGAGATAGTCCACCCAACCTAACAAAATGACAGTCATGGGTTGCGTCGTCTAAGGTATCATTGTAAATCTGGGGTGAATGTTTGTTTAAAAAGATAAATTTACGTTGACCTTAGCTAACAGAAGGTTTTGTGTCAATTAATTGAACTCTTACGATTCACAACTCAAAAGATAGAAAGTCATTGAGGAACATACGGGTTGCAGTCGTGATCGTAATATAATCGTGTCATTTGGCGACAACAGCTTGGTTAGAAGGCTTTAGTCGTAACCGCTACTTTGTTGTGTCATTCAGCGGTGAAACAATGCAAATAGAGAACTCGTGTCATATCGTTACTAGCATGCGATTATTTTTATTGTGAATATATTGATAGATTTGATATGACATTAACTCTTTGTGAGCTAAAGTCAGTTAGAAATTTCTCACCCTTGACAAACTGTTGCTGAAGGTGGATGGAATTTACTTTAAACCTTAAGTGATTTAATTTTAATTTTATTGTTTTAGTTCACTACATTAAAATCTTGATTTAAAAGATTGATCACTCTGGTTGAAATACTCGATTACACGGTCATTATTGGGGTGTTAAGTATTTAAAACATTTATATTTGAAAGGGGCAGTTAAATTCTTCTTTTTAGGTTACAAGTCCTATCGGCTCCTATCCTTACAATGAGAAGAATTACACTTGATGATTTGGACTTGTAAATTTGTATCTTTGAGATGTGGACGTTATTAAGCTTACTAGACTTGTCAACTCTAGTCCATACAAGAAGGAGAATCGAACTAGTTAGATGAGACTTATAACCATATCTTATAGACAATGCAGCTCATTTAGCTTGCGCTGCTTTCTCGAACTTATTATTTGAGCATTCAATACATTGGTTGGAGCACATAAAGACTTTTATATTTAATATGTTTGAATAACATAAAAAATTTGGAGATTTTGAAGGCTTGTGTAATCTTTAAACCATAGTAGTGATTTGCAATTTAGGACACGAGATTTTGAAATCATGTATCTAATTATTATCTATATGAATCTCCTAAGGCATACACAATTAAGAGAGTACAAAAAATGTATCAAAATATATTCATATATTTCAAATCATTGCATTTGACTTAGGAGTAACCATGAAGCTTGTATACGCCTTAAAGATTTAGTTATTTTGAAACTATGAGCTTTTATTTAGAAATTATCACATGCAATCTTCAGGTTTTAAGCAGCACAGTCTTGTGTTAGCTAGCAGACACGTTGCGAGTTCGATGGTGAGATTTTAAACATTTAAAATTTTTAATTTTGAAATATTTTTAAACCCTACGAGCTTAAATTTAAAAGCCCAAATTTTAAAATATTTTAAAGCCAAATGAGCATAAATCTCAAAAGCCCGAGACTTGAGTACTTTTAAAATCCTAATAGACTATATTTTAAAAACTCAAATTTTCGTATTATTTTAAAATTGAAGTAAGACGCATTTTATTCTATTTTACAAGTCCAAAATTTCAAATGTTTTAAAGTGATTACAAGTCTAAATCACTCAAATTTTCGATAGCCTCCCTGTATCAACTCCGGTTAGGAGGCACGGAATGTCAGCCTGATGTGTTGATAATTTTTCACTTGTTGATACCAGTATTTTGTATTGTATATGACAATATTGCACTTTAAGGAAGATTTTATGTTGTTTTTGCAAGTCGTAACAAGAAAGGGGGCGAACGAGAATCGAAATGAATCGAATTAGAGATTGTAACAAATCGTTG